GCACTTGCTGGTGTTCTGACTGAATGTGGAAATCCGCACAAACACTGCGAGGTGGATTGTCCTATGGAAACCAGAAGGGCGAAAGCACCAAGCCACGGCGAAACGATTGAAGCCTTGGTGGCTGCACTTCAGCCCCATCCAGGAACTAGAAAGGTGAAGCAGTCAAGCCAACAAAAACTCAGTGATACTTTTCCTCAACTAAGCACCTGGAGAACCAACTGGCGGAGCATCTGCCCAATTCCCACGATAGGTGGCGTCTACTGGTGCTTGCTCCTTTGGGACACTCAGTCAGTTGAACGACGAATCCCATCAATGAACACCCCCATCAACAGTCGCAGGCTCAAAGCGTTCCTGCTTGACAATCAAGTCCTTGAGCCCCTTTTCACCTAGGGCGTGAGTTTGCATCCACAAAGGACATTTAAAAAGAAGGAAGGCCCCCCTTCAAAGCCCTACCTTCTTTTGCCCACGCTTTTTAAGACACACGCTCTGGGCACAAAGCCAACTTTGTCACTTGATTTGCACACCCCTGGGATGGAGTCGGTCTGGAATATGCCCCGCCTGCGACTTCTTTGTCCAGTTCTTCTTCCGGATCAAGGTCCGAATACTCATTATCCTGCGCAAACTCTGCACCATGCTCGGGTCATTCTCTGGAGAATTGTCTGCTTGTCACGTGGTTTCTCTGTCACTTCCCTGCAGTTTGCTTAGCAATTGTTAGAAAGGCCGAACCGTTCCAAGCCGGAAAGAATAACTTCACTGGTTAAAAACCCCTGCGCGCCAGATGCACCTCTTTTTACATTCGCAACCCTGGTGTGGGGAGAACAGTGACCTGCTTATAAAGGAAATCAACCACCTTCCAATTTACGGGCACCCCTCTGCAACGAACAGGCACCTCCCTTGCAACAAGGAGAGGGCGGGCGGGGTCAAAAAAAAGAAAATAGCCAAGCAAAGCCCGTGGCGGAGGGTCACACAGTCGCCAACAAAAACGTTGCCCAACTTCAAGAGCAACCTCACTCGGCTCAACACATGCATTCCAAGAAAAGTGATGACCAGTTGCAGTGATCAACCCAACAGTCTGGCACGCTCGCGTGCACGTCCCGCCCCCTCCCTCTCTCTCCCTCCCTCTCTCCATCCCTCTCTCTCTCTCTCTCTCTCCCTCCCTCTCTCCCTCCCTCCCTCTCTCTCTCTCTCTCTCTCTCTCTCGCTCTCTCTCCCTCTCTCTCCCTCTCTCTCCCTCTCTCGCCCTCCCTCTCCCTGTCCCTGTCCCTCTCCCTCTCCCTCTCCCTCTCCCTCTCCCTCTCCCTCTCCCTCTCTCTCTCTCTCTCTCCCCCTCCCTCCCTCTGCCTCTCTCTCTCTCTCTCTCCCTCTCCCTCTCCCTCTCCCTCTCCCTCTCCCTCTCCCTCTGCCTCTCTCTCTCTCTCTCTCTCTTTCTCTCTGTGCAGGGCATGCTATTTACACTGGCAGCCTGCAAACTACGCAGAAGATTAAAGCAATGCGGTCCTAAGGCAGCGGGCCTATCAAGTTACAGTGTCTGGAATTGTAAAGTTTCCTGTGCCCTCCGGCGGCAGACAGCCACACACCAGGTAATCGCAAAACATCCAAGATTTGACACAAAGTTCGTCTGCATTGCTCTCAATGAATCCGTTCATCCAAGCCCGACTTGCTGCGGTAGCTGCCGTGCATCAACCCGGTAGGTCTTCCACACACGCTGTAAACATGTGTTTCCTCTTTCCTGCATTGTTCACCTACTGCGCAAACGCACCGCCGCTCACTACCACATTGAAGAAGCTTGTGTCAGTCGTGCGTTTCAGGGCACCCAAAGTCTCCAAAGCTGAATATTGCACAAAAGTCTAGGTACAGTCAGCTTCAGAAGCTGTGTAAGTGACCGATACGCCGTTCACAACTCACAGTAGTCGGACCAAACACTGATGGGTTGCCAAATCATAACGAGGAAACGATTGCGCGTGTTCCTTTGAGAATGTGACAAGGTCGGCGTGCCCTACACTTAAAGTATGCCAACTAGGTTGAAGAAGGTATGTAGATTCCCGCTAGCCCACATTGGTCACCCATTCCATCTCCACATATCTCCACGGGTGAGAGATCAAAAAAAATATTTAACGTATCAATAAGAAAATATTCTACACGCATCAATTAAAAAAATATATACTGACTCAAAAAATAAATATTCCAAATAGCAGTAGCAGTAAGAGTAGCAACAGTACTATAATAGCAGCAGTATCGTAGTGGTAGTCGTAGTGTTTCGTGGCAGGTGCAGTGCTTTGTGGACCTTGCAATGCACATTTCGTGGCAGGTGCAGGACTTTGTGCATGTTGAAGTGCAGAGTTGGTGGCCAGTGGCAGGCGCAGGACTTTTTGTGGACCTTGAAGCGCAGATTTCGTGGCAGGTCTAGTACTTTGTGGCCCTTGGAGTGCAGATTTCGTGGCAGGCGCAGGACTTTGTGGACCTTGAAGTGCAGATTTCGTGGCAGG